TGGAATTACTAACTTTTGCTTTGGGGCCCAGCACCAGATTGCACATGGATTCTCTTGGCCAGTGTGATTGTGTACCCAGTAGTTCTTTCCTTGGTAACACAGGTCTGATCATGTGGCTAATTCCACCCATGCTTACCTTTACGGATGTCCATATGAGTTGCAAACAGAGAACATGAGTTTTGTGAAATCTTATATCATAATATGGGCTGTCACAGGAGCTGGGAGTTGATCCTTTAGCTGACTTGTTACCAGGCATGAGAACCACACGATCAGCCTATTGTTATTGTCCATGAATCAGTGAAGATGTTCCAGGATACATTTTGAAGGGGCTTCCTTTCTTTCTTTTTTTGAGAGATTTTTTGCTATAAGATATGTATGCTAGCCAGAATGCAAGAATGGCCACACAACAATCCCTTCTCCTCCATCCTCCTCTTCGGATTTTGGGCACACATGTACACACACACGCACATGCACCCAATGTGAGTTTCAAGCTACCAGATCCAGCACTCAGATTGCAGTCAACCACATGGGAGTCTAGCACCTTAACCTCTATGCCACCTCCTGGCCCCTACATGTACCTAAAACAGGATAATATCTCTACACATTGGCTAAGACTGTTCCTGTAGATCAAGGTAATTCTTGGACTATGAAACATTAGCAGTCAACACTCCAGCAGCTCATAGATTGAGGGTCACTTCACACCTTAAAGACATAGATACCAAGTCCACACTGCCTCTGTAACTGAGACTGCTGCAGGGATCATGCCATTCTGTGAAGCTGTCTGCTACGACGAGCATGTGGTATGACCAGGAAATTCCAGGTGGTAGCCCATTAATCAATAGCTTTTGTCACGAAACATGTCCCATGGCCCCAAAATTTGTAAGGCTCCACTGTAATGGAATAAGCTATTTGCAAATCTATGACTAGTGGCACTGGCAGAAGAGCTGTGGGCAGAGTAAGCAAATCCACCCCCAGGATATGTTTGTGTTGACCTACCTTCATTCTACACCACCCTTTATCTTTCGCACTGACCAAATGAAGTGAGGTCACTGCAGATGTTACGGAAATCACGCACCCTGCATCTTTCATATCTTTATGGGACTAATTTCTGAACATCCCCAGGGGCACAGACTTATTTTTAGATTATTATCTTGCCTATAGGAGTCCTTTTTCAAGACTTTATTTGCCCGTACTTACCGTAATAGACCTTATTACTATGGTAAAGGAAACAAGGTTGGCAAAATAGCCATACGGTGTAGCTGGGATACCATTTGACACACAGCGAGATGGGCTCTGGTCTGGACTTATCTACCCTTGAGCTCTCTAAGCCTCTCTCTCTCCAATAGCTCATAGAGGCTCCAGGGATTAGGCTCAGATCAGCGCCAGTATATAATACAATTGTGTTTCCCAGTAGAATGAGCACAGACTGAGATTAGGAACCTGATTCCTGCCTCTCTCTGTTGCTAGGTGTTTATCAGGCAAGGTCCTTAAGCTCCTGGAGCCCAAAAATATCCTTCTGATTGTGCTGATGTGATAAGATTACACACATCAAATGCATTACGCACTGCCTAGAACAAAGCCTAATGACCCCCAGTATCATTTGCTTCTTCTGCAAGTATAAAGAGGAACCGAAAATATCTGTTACTATTTATCAGTATTTTGATAACTCATATATGTTTATTTTATTTCTAAAAGTTTATTCATTTATTCCATGAGAAGAGAGATGCAGCACCTCTAACAAGGTCTCCACACGGAGACTCACCCCCAGCTTCAGCCAGCCCAAATCATGGGCACATATGTGCTGGTGTCATTAGGGAGGCCTCTAGACACAAACCAGTGACCTTCCCAGGTGGGTTTACCTCGCAAGGCACTGTGTTTCACTTCTATGCCATTTAATTTGCTGGAGCGAGTGTGCACCTACCAAAGAGAAACAGAGAGAGAGAAGAGAAACAGCCCCCTCCAAACAAATGAGGGATGCTCATGCGGCAATATCATAATTCCTTTTGTTCCATTTCTCCTTTTGGGATTTTAGGCATGCATGTGCATGCGCCTAGCACTTTTTTTCTTTTTCTTTTTCCTCTTTTTCTTTTTCTACATTCCTTTTTCATCTTCTTCTTTCTTCTCTTTTTCTTTCTTTCCTTTCTTGCTTTCTTCTTCTTTTTATTTTTTTTAAATGAGTGCTTGCTGGAGAGACACAGAGAGAGAGACAGAAAGTGAAAAACAACTCCCCCAGGGAGATGGCTATGCCATAATCCCTTCTCCTCTAATCTCCTCTTGGAATTTTGGGCATGCATGCATACACACCTCATGTGTTTCAAGCCACCGAGTCCAGGACTCAAACCATAGTCAACTGCATGGGAGTTCAGTGCCTTAATCACTATGCCCCAGCAGGGTTTTTTGTTTTGTTTTGTTTTTTGTTTTTTGTTTGTAGGAGAGGATTTTTTTGCTATAGGGCATGGGTGCTCGCCAGAGAGACAGAAAGTGAGAAATTATCCTCAGAGGGATGGCCACACCACAATCTCTCCTCTTCCATTCTCCTCTCAGTATTTTGAGCATGCACGCACATGCACCTGGCGTGAGTTTAAGCTGCCAGGTTTGGGACTCAAACCATAGTCAACTGCATGGGAGTTCAGTGCCTTAATCACTATGCCCCAGCAGGGTTTTTTTGTTTTGTTTTGTTTTTTTGTATTTTGTTTTTTGTTTTTTTGTTTGTAGGAGAGGTTTTTTTTTTGCTATAGGGCGCGTGTGCTCGCCAGAGAGACAGAAAGTGAGAAATTATCCTCGGAGGGATGGCCACACCACAATCCCTTCTCTTCCATTCTCCTCTCAGTATTTTGAGCACGCACGCACATGCACCTGGCGTGAGGTTAAGCTGCCAGGTTTGGGACTCAAACCATAGTCAACTACATGGGAGTCCAGCAATGTAACCATTACACCATCTGCCGGTCCCGGGAGATATATATTTTTAGTAGTAAGATTAGCAGTGTTGTAGTGGTTAAGGCAGTTGGATCCCACATGATCAAATATGCAGTTCGGGTCCCAGATCTAGCCTCTTGAAAAACACACCAGGCATGCTGTGTGCGTGCCCAAAATCCTGAGAGGAGAATAGAGGAGAAGGGACTGGAGCATGGCCATCCCCCCCCAGGGATGCCTTTTCACTCGTTTCCCAACCCCATCCCCTTCTCCCACCACCCCCTGCATCTCTCAGACACATGAGCCTTATAGCAAAATTTAAAAAAAATTAGAAAACGTGTGCTTATGACCACTGCTAGGCATGTGAATTAGTAAAGCATTCATTGAGCAAGGAACTCAGTCTTTATTATTCATCAGAACCACCTGGTAGTCTCGTTGAAACCCAGATTGCTGAACCCCATCGTAGAGTTTCTGACCTAGCAGGACTCCATGAGGCTCAAGGATTTATATTTCTGACAAGTCCCCCAGTGACGCTGATAGGATGCTGCTGCCTCCCACACATACACTTTGACCATTACCAACAAAGAGCATTTGACTTAGATCTGAAAAATACTCATAAACTTGGATCCAGGAGAGAGGTCAAAGATAAGCAGCTTGACACCTGCAGGGGAGGCGCTCTGGTTGACCCTTGCGGGCCTGCCACAGCCAGGCTGATCCTGCTAGGTGAGTTCTCCAGCACTGGGAAGCAGGGCGGCTCACCAGGGCAGGGTGGAGGCCTCTGTGTCAAGGGAAACCACATTGGGAAAGCCAACAGCCATGCAGCCCAAGGGAAGGCACTGAGGACTGAGCCCTAACTAGCTCCCTTACTCTATTTGTTTTTTCCATTGCACTTGTCAACATCCGTCAGGTTTTCCTCATTTATTGCCCATCTCCCTTCCTCTCCTTTCCCATTAGAATGTGAGTTCTCTGGAGCAAGGACTTGTGTGTGTTTTGTGTAAGAACGGTGCCTGGATTGTAGCAGGTACTGAAGAAGCACTAACTGAATGCATGACAATACACCTATGTCTGTATATTCATACCACGTCTAGAAGGATCCACAAGAATAGGCCAGCAGGCTTCCTTTAGGCAAGAGAAAGGAGTGGGAGCCAACATAACTTTTTGCTGGCTGTGTACATCCATTTGGATTTTTCCTACCTATTTGCTTTCTGTGGTTAACCAATCTAGAATCTCTAGTATCGCAAGGCGGGCGCAAAGCCTAGTGGTTAAAGGAGTTGGATCCCACATGGCCGATCATGCAGTTTAAATCCCCACCTTGGTAGCTTGAGAAACAAACCAGACACGTGTGTTAGAAAGACGAATTTGAGGGGCTGGTTGTGGTGCATGGTGCTCTGTGAGGCGGACCACCTGGGAGGGTTCCAGGTACATGTCCAGAGACCAACCTGAGCATGATCCAGGGCTGGCAGAGAAGGGTGAAGATCATGGGGAGAGACCCTGATGGGAGTACTGGCTCTCTGACTTTCATAGAAAAAAATAATAAATGAACTTTAAAAAAAAGGAGGGGGATTTGAGACAGAGGAAGAGTAAACTATGAGTTACTCTCCTGAACAAAGGCAGGCATGGTTTCTATCACAGGTAACTGCTGAGCTAGGTATTATCCAATAGTATTGGACATGGCATTGGGTAAGGCCTCACGTCAGAAAAAATAAATTTTATTTGGAGAGGTTTTTTTGCTATAGGGTGTGTGCACTCACCAGAAAGACAGAGAGAGGCAGAGAGACAGAAAGCGAGAAATCACCCCCCCTCCCCGGCGGGGGGGATGGCCATGCCGCAATCCCTTCTCCTCCATTCTCCTCTCGGGATCTTGGGCACGCACGCACACGTGCCCAGTGTGAGTTTAGGCCACTTTGTCCAGGACTTGAACAGTGGTAGATTACATGGGAGTCCAGCGACATAGCATAGCCATTACGCCAACTGCTGGTCCCCAGAAAAAAAATTTTATTAAATGCAAGAGATCTAAGTGGCCTCAGAAACCTTCTAGAAGGCACTGACATCACAAAGGAACACCCAAGCCCTCCTCAGAAGGTGACCCCAAAGTGAAACCCACCCCTGTGTGCTGCTGCCACCTCACGGGTGAGTCAGGAGGGTCATCTACTTCCCTCTAGATTTTTCTGTAGTCTCTAACCCCCAGCAGCGTCTACGCTTGCCCAGCAGGGGGCAGCCTGAGCCCGGACACCAGCTTTGTTGCTGCCTGCTCAGGGAACAGGACAGACGGGTACCTAGCCCCCTCACTGCCCACTAAATGCTGGGCCTGTTGCCCACTTGCTGGCGGCAGCAGTACCAGTGAAACGGGATGCGCCGAGGAAACGGGGCCGTTTGAGTTCTCCTGAGCTGTGTCAGTTCTGCCTGGCAGATGCTCGCCCTGGCACCCTGCTGTACTCGTCCTCTCTAGCGTCCTTTGCGGAAAGACCAATTCTTTCCTGTGCCTGCCCTGTTTCTACTCACTATTCAGAATGTGCTTTTCTGAGACATCAAATCCCAGAGCCCCAGAGCTGGAAGGGACTTGATTCCCACTAGTCTAGGAGTTGCCGTTTCAAATGACGTTGAAGGGCAGGCAGTAAGCGTAAATCTGTACATCTGGCTAAGGCAAAGATGGTAGAAAACGGTCATGGCTATGCCGAACTGAAGGAGCCTTGTGCAAAAGCATCCACTACAGTCAGTGGTTCTCCTGTGAGTAACATAAAACTCGGTCATGGGCTAGACGCTGGCTGCCAGCCTCCTCCGTGTCCAGGCTACTCCTGTGTTTTACAGGTTGAGAAGACAGCCCCAGAGAGGAGAAGCCACTTGTCTGAGACAGGGTCCAATTGCTTTCTCTGCAGAATCCGGTTTTTGATTTAGTGTTGTTTGTACCTGGGGGCACAGAGCAAATGTTTAGCAGCAATAGCTGGGGAGGGCTTGGACTTCGAGATATGCATGCCCTGTGGCTGCTGCTTAGCCCTGGATTGCTTCATTTCCTTCCTTGGCCGCAAATCTCCTGTTTGGAGAAAGCAGCCTCCCCCAGAAGACAGGGCACTCCTTTTCCTCAGAATGACTCATAGCCTCGGAGCAGACTTGTGGACAGCCTGACTCCAAGACAGAATCCTCTCCACCTACTGCTTTTTCCAATGAATACCGCCATTGGTGGGGCTCCACTTCCTCTGGCCACCTCCCTAAGGCTGGAAACTTGTATTTACTCAGGTTTTTCCCTCCTTAAGACGAGGTCCTTCACAGAAGTACCCAAGGACCTTTCAACCTTGATTTCACAGATCTCATAAAGAGACACAGACCATAAGCATGAAGCGTGTGGAGGTCGCAGGGGTGTTGTATGTGCTTATAGTTGCTCTGCAAGTACACATGGTGTTTTTTCGGAAACTCAATCTTGGGCCAGCAGATGGCATGGAGGTTAAGGCACTGGATCCCACATGGTCAACTGCGCTGTTTGGACATGTGTGCCCAAAATCTCGAGAAGAATAGAGAAAGAGGATTGCAGCATAGCCATTCTCCCTGTGGGACACTGTCTCACTTTCCCTCATTCTCTGTCTCTGGTGAGCACACATACCCGGTAACACAAGTAAAAAATTTTAAAAATTCAATCTTTTATTTTTAAGCTTATTATTGACGTCATGGGGGTGGGGGTAAACCCAACTGGGTATTCACAGAATGACCCACCCCCACTGTTAGCCAGCCTATATCACAGGCCTGTGTCCAGCATGTAGGGGGAGGCCCCAGGACACAAACCCAGAACCTTCATATGTGGATCCGATTATAGTACTGTTGCACCACTGTTTGGCCCCAGAAATCCAGTCTTATACTGGCATTGTCTCCATCTCCAGGAGAGGCAGTAGGCTTCGATGACCTTGGTGGCAAGAACTGGGTTGTGGCCCTGGTCACAAGGACTTGGGACATATATTTATGACAGGGCTAGACACCGGGAGAACATCGGCTCATTCTTACCATGACTGTCCCATGTGAGGATCAGCACATGACTGACCCCATTGTCTCAGAGCTGCTGCTCTCCCGGCACTCCAAACCTGCATGTGAAAACAGTGACCAGGGGTCCTGAAAAACGGGTCTCAAAAGGACATTGCTTCAAAAATATTTTGGAAAGGAAGAATGAAGAACATTCACCTACTTGCTCAAGGAAAAAGAAACAGAGGGGAAAAAAGAGAGACTAGGTAGATGAGTTACTTATAGGACAGGGTAGGAACAGGGTAGGAGCAGGGTAGGAGGAGGGTAGGAACAGGATGGAAAGAATAAAGAGAAGGGAGAGGGGAAGGAGACTTCTCTAATCTATCTTTTTGTTCTGGCCTGGTTTTTGGAACTGTTTTAAGGTTTCACATCTTAAAAATAAATACAAATAAAACTCACAAAGAAGAGCCCTAAAATTGAATAGAACAGAAATAAATAAATAAAAATAAATGCCTGTTGGCCAACTCATGGTCTGGTGGTTTCGTGAGCTGGATCCCACGTGGCTGACTGCTGGTTAGAATCTCAGACTCAGACACTGAGTGCATATGTGTGTGTGTGCCCAAAATCCCAAGAGGAGAGCGATATGGAGAAGGGATTGGGGTGTGACCATTTCCCATGGGGAGTACTTTAGTGCTTTCCCTCTTTCTCTGCCGCTCCCCAATGCATACACACTCTCTGGCAAATTTAAATAAGTAAATACCCTTTGACTTCTAGCTTAGGATTTATAGTAAAAATAATGGTGCTTTACAATGTGTTAACCATTTTCCTGCAGCTCCCTACACCCTTTGCGGCATCCCCAATGGTAGGTACTACGACTGTCCTTTACGAGAGGGAAAGTTATCCCCTAGTGAGGCTCCCAGGACTTGAACTCAGGTTTTACATCAGATAGGTACTAGATTTCAGTTCTGAAATCGTATTCTCAGTTCTGGACCAGGCACAGAAGGAGGATTCGGTGTCCCAGCAATCCAGGAAGGTACAATCTCAGTGATGAACGTGGCACGTCACAAAGTTATATGCAAGGAAATGAATGATCGCTTTATCCTTCGTAAAGCTTTAAGGGAGACCAGATCCATGGCACAGCCGTAATAGGCTATTCAAGAGAAGCCAGATCCCACATAGTGATCGTGATGCAAATCTTAGGCCTGGTTGACCTGAGAACATGCTAGGCACCTGCATGGGTGCCCAGGAGCTGATGGGCACGAGGACTGGAGGGAGGAGACTGTGGTGTGACCAGCTCTGCAGAAGGTGCTCACTTCCCACCCGTGCCCATCTCTCACCTTCATGTGCACACACACACGTGCTCTATTGTGAATAAAGAGTGGGCGGATTTAAAGGCTGTAAAGATTTTAGTCACATGAGCACTTGTGTGAGTTGGCTTCCCGTTATGGGATTTGAGCTAAACCTTGTAGGTAGAATTCAGGTAGGTGTGGGAAGGGATGAGGGGATTTCAGGAAGCTGAGCCACTGGGAGCAAAGGAGGAGGGAAGGGCCTGGTGTGCCCTGGACGTGAGAGACCGGCCTTTGTGTTGGTGAGGAAGATGTCACCAATGAGGCTGGCAGAGCTTGGCAAATCTCAGTCCTGAAACTGTAGCCTTTCAATAGTTGCCTATTGTTATTTAATAAATGTCTAATCCCTTTCTGATTACTGGGATCAAAGAAATTACTAGGAAAAAGCAGACTCGACATTATGGCTCTACAGCTAAAAAATGTGTTTGCACAAAGGGGGAATAAAACTAGCTCTCTTGATGGTTTTTGCTTTTTTAAATAACACATTCATTTGATAAATTTTTGTATTTATCAAGTATTTTTAAATAAGGCTTACCTCTGAATTTTTTTTTCTTTGAGAGGTTTTTGCTATATGGTACACGCACTTGCCAGAAAGACAGACAGAGACAGAGAGACAGAAAGCGAGAAATCACACACACACCACCACCACCACCACCACCACCCAACCACCCCAGTCCGGATGACCACGCTGCAATCCCTTCTCCTGCATTCTCCTCTTGGGATCTTGGGCATACACGCACACGTGCCCAGCGTGAGTTTAAGCCACTGGGTCTGGGACTCAAACCGCAGTGGACTACATGGGAGTCTAGCGAAATAGCCATTACGCTAACTGCTGGTCCCTTATTTTTGCTTTATTTCTCTCTCCCTTTTTATTGCCAGAGGGCAAGCGTGCTAGCCAGAGAGACGCACAGAGACAGAGAAAATCACCTCCCAGCGGGGCGTGGTCATGCTGCAATCCCTTCTCCATTTTTTCATCCCCTCGAGATTTGGGGCACACATGCCCACATTTGTGCCTGGTCAGCCATGTGAGATCTGGCTCCCTTCACCACTGTACCAGGAGGCCAACCTGCTTTTCTCTTTCATACCCGCATTGGAAGCTGAGACCTCAAGCAGGAAGAGATGCCGCTCCCTGTTTGCTGAGCTGAAAATCAAGCTTGGTCATGCTAGAGCCAGCTTGCCTGCAGCGTCCCATCAGGGTGTAAGGAGAGGTGTCAAAGGAAAACATTTCTCTCTCTTCAGGTCCACCCCCAGCTGGAGGGTTGTTGCTCAGCAGGGATAATGAGAGGAAATGAGAAGAGAAAGCAAGATGGCGTTGTGGGAAAGAAAGCAGGCTAAGTCCAGTGGGACGCTGGGTCTAGGTGGACAGCAAGGCAGAAACTTGTAGAAAATCAAAACATGGATAATGGGGGACCAGCAGTTAGCGTAATGACTATGTTGCTGGACTCCCATGTAGTCGATCGTGGTTCGAGTCCCAGACCCGGTGGCTTAAACTCACGCCGGGCGTATGTGCGTCCGTGCCCAAGATCCTGAGAGGAGAATGGAGGAGAAGGGATTGCAGCATGGCCATCCCCCCTGGGGGTGATTTCTTGCTTTCTGTCTCTCTCTTTCTGGCAAGCACATGTGCCTTATAGCAAAAACATCTCAAAATAAATAAATAAATAAATAAATAATAAATAAATAAATAAATAAAACATGGATAATGGCTACTAGACCCTTGGTTTACTGTATCCTAAGTTTTAATCAGGATCAGTGTTCAGATAAACCTGAAAAATCCTTGAAATGAGGACAAATACAACATCTGGTCTTAAGTTGCTATCCCTTGTTATCCCTTTTTGAAATAGCAACAAAAGTAGTCCCATGTCTCCCTCAGGAGAAAGTCAGTATCAGGCCCTTTCTGATCTCTCCACCCCTGCCTGTCACCATGGCCCCGTGTCCTTCCCCAGCAGCCACCCCAGGACACTGCAGGTCTGCATCTGCCAACCAGGGACAGAGTTTACCCACTACCCACACACTACCTCCTCAGGGAGCACTGGGACCCCACAAAGGTGGTGGCTTCTCCTCCCAGCTCCAGGCACTTTGACACTCCTGTCAGTGTGGTGTTCACATCCTGTCCCTATGGTAGGTTTGTCTTTTCGCCCCCAGATTCAGAGTTTCCTCAGTGCGGGAGCCAACCTGTTCTTTTGTTTACTCTAGAACAGAACACAGCTTCTGGTCACACTTCTTAAAGTACTTCTTTAGTATTTTATGGATGTTTTCCCTGAAAGCAATGTTTCTTAAACTTTTAAAACCTCAGCCCACAATAAGAAAAACATTTTACATTACCACCCAGTTTATAGACTCATACACATGTAACAGAAACAAAAGTTGCATGAAATAATACTTACTATCTTGGATGCACTCTGATATTTCCTTTTTTATTTCATTGGTTTTTTTCCTAAAGTGCTTGTCAATTCTTGTAGATGCGAAGCTGTAGTCCTAAAGTATAGGGAGAAACTGTCATTGCTAAAGTGAGAAGAGCTTTGTTTCCAGGCCAGGATCGGATTAGGATTAACTGTAAACAAATGAGGGCTCCTGGCAGCTCTGATTTGTAGACCAGGAGAGTCTGGCTTTGTTAGGTATAGGCCCAGGCAGGGGTTTACAGACGGTGGTGATGGACTTGGTCCTCCAGGCTGGAACTGGGCCCTGAATCTGCACTTTGCAGCTTTCCTGTTCAATGCCTTCTCTTTTGCCTTGGTTCCTTTAACCCACCCATCCCTACCCCACAAACAATTCCCTGCACTCTGGCTGCTACCACACCTGTATGAGAGGACTTTAAAAAGTTTCATACAAAAATGGAATCAAGAGAACAGCAGATGGCATGATGGTTATGTTGTCAGACTCCCATGTAGTTGACTGTGGTTCAAGTCCTGGACCCGGTGGCTTCAACTCCATGCCAGGTGCATATGTGTGTGTGCCCCAAATCCCAAGAGGAGAATGGAGGAGAAGGGATTGTGGTGTGGCCAACCATCTTGGGGGTAATGTCTCACTTTCTGTCTCTGTCTCTCCAGCGAGAGAGTGCCCTATAGCAAAAATCTCTCTAAAAAAAAAGAAAAATGGAATTAAGTGTGAGTTTACTTTGATGGGAAAGAATGGAAACCCAAGCATAGTTTTTTCATGAATGTTGTGAAGATTCCTCCTATCTATGCATTCTTCTAGGATAGCGCTTCTCCCACTCTACTGCAATGCAATTCTTCAGGTGCCTGGCTACTCAGCGGAGCTCTTGGAAGTAGCATGACCTGGGAAACCTGGCCTCCAGACTGTGTGTGAGTGAGAAGAGATGGTTTGCCATCTTCTTGGGCCCACCAGTGCCCATGTCTTCCTTATTGTTGCCTGAGCAGTGTCACCATGGTACAAGAGCTGCAGCAGGGGAAGGCAGGCCAGGACTTGTCACTTTGTAGCAGGAGGGCAGGTCCTGCCTCTAGAACCAGGAGGCAATGACTGGAATTCCACAGGGAATTTACAAGACTCAGTTATTTCTTCCCTGTGTAGAAAACCCTCACAATTGAAGAAATTAAGAAAATAAACCTGGGCTTCACAGGTGACCTCTGACACAAGCAAGCTCTTACAACTGGTGTTGCTGGAGAATGAAATACCCATTCAGAGGGAAATGACAACAAGCAAACCATGTGCTCCCCTGCCAGTTCATCCATCCTCATTCCTGTCTTCACAGCTCCCCGTGCTCTCTGCCTGTGCCTCACCCTGAGCCAGTGGAGAGTGGAATACAGGGTGGGGGAAGGTAGAAAAGGCTGCCCATGTGTCCCATCCCAACATAGCAATATTTCAGGCACAAATGTTTTTTGTCACTGTCAGCAATAAAAACTCAGACTATGAAACGTCAATAGTACATAAATCATGTCATTACACTGGGAACCATAAGCCGTGGTTCTGTTTGTCCTCTGATGGTGGTAACCACACATCTTTCATAAAGACGAGACAACTGCAAACACTGTGAGCTCCATTCTGGGAGGGCCGGGCCCCTGAGAAGGGGATCCATGAGATGAGAACATTCTGGCCAGGTACTATGCCAGCATCTTACTCGCTTTGAGTTCTTGCTCTTCCAACCTTATCTACTACCTAGGAGGAGAGCATTGTGTTGTCTGCTAACAAGGAGGAAATTTAATTTTTAAAATGAATTTGAGTAAAAATTAAAAAACCAAATAGATGTATAGATTAAATCAACAAAAAACAAGCAGACATTCCTCTTAACTATTATGTTTAGCTATTGCTCTCTCTTTTGTTACATACTGTTGTTATTGACCCATTTGCAATAGATGGAATGTCTATGTCCCCCTCACCCCAAAATTTATACGTTGAAACCTAATTCCCAGTGTGATGGGATTTAGAGGTGAGGCCTTTAAGAGGTGATTAAGGTCATGAGGTTAGAGACCTAATGAATAGGATTAATGCCCTTATTAAAGAGACTCCCAGAGCGCCCATGTCCCTTCTGTCATGTGAGGTCCCAGCAAGAAGAGGGTCATCTGTGAATAAGGAAGCAGGTCCTCATCAAACACCAAAGGTACTGACACCTGAGTCATGGACTTCTCAGCTTCCAAAACTATGAATAATAACTTTCTGTTGCATTAGGCCACCCCGTCCACAGTATTCTATGGTATTCTGTGACAGCAGCCCAGCTGGATGAGGACAACACTGTATGCTTCATTGGTCAAGCAAGAGAAAGTAGAACCTAGTTCATGTTTACTGGAGCCTACAGTTTTCACCCAAGTAGGGTAGAGTGGGGAGATCTGGAGATCTCCAGATCTGAGCAGAGACCACAGCTCTCCCACTCTTACCTGTGTGATCTTGGGATGTAACCACCCTGATTCGAGGACCACATTCTTCTCACTTGTAGAATTAGAGTAACTATACTGCTCCCCAGGCTTGCTGCAAGGAGGGAAATGAGGGAATGTACTTGGGAGTATTAAACAAAAATTATAGGGGTCATTGTCTGGTTTTATTTATTAATTAATTTATTTTTCCAGAGGCCATCATTTTGGACTAAAGTCAGACAGGCCTCAGCAGACCAGACTGAAAAAATCAAAATGGCATCACTCTTCCTAAAGTTTCACTTCATGAAGCCAAAAATAAATTGTTTCCTACACGGGCTAGTTTTAAGCAGCATGGTAATGAATTTCCCTTCACCTTAATCCTTACACAAAAGAAACAACCTAAAATAAAGGGAAAGAAAGAAAGAAAGAAAAGAAAAAACCAAAAAATTTAATAAGTGAAAAAAGAGGAAAAAATAAGCAACGACCTAAAGTAACCCGATGTTAACTAATTAGGTAATTTCCTATTGTTCTGTCTTCCTGTCCCCTGCCTTACAAGGAAAGTAACTTTGAAATGACCAATCTGCTTCTCGTTCTTTGCTTCTGCTTTCTTCGGCCTTTCTCTGTCCATAAATCCAACCTCTTGTGCTCAGCTTACTGGGACACTTATTCTACTTAATGGAATGAAGTGTGCCCTGATTCTAGGACAGCCAATAAAGCCAATTACAATCTTTAAATGGCTGTAATTTTGTCATTTCACAGGAGCAGTTAACAATGTGATGAACTTAACTTTCTAGGTTAACCAAAAAGACTCTTGTTTCAGGGCATCAAGTGAGGTGATGGTGACCAGGCAGACTGGGCAGAGGATATTTTTTTCTGTTGTGGGAATAAAGCTGATGCACAAAGGAGGGCCCTGTCATGGAAAGCCTCAGCCAGACACAACCACTCGGATTTGTCCTGGAGACTAGGGTAGTGTGGAAAGACTTTTTTTTTTTAGATTTTTGTCATAGGTCATGCGCTCACTGGAGAGAGATGGTTAGAGATAGAGAGACAGGAAAAGTTAGAAATCACCCCTGGAGGGGATGGCCATGCTGCAATTCCTTCTCCTCTTTTCTCCTCTGGATTCTGGGTGCACACACATGTGTCTGGTGTATTTCTCAAGCCATTGGGTCTGGGACTCAATTGCACAGTTGGCCATGTGGGATCCAGCACCTTAAACATCCTATCCCTTGCTGGCCTGTGGAAAGACTTTTTGACATTTGCCTTTTTTTTATTTTTAATTAAAAAAAAAATTTTTTTTTTCTATGAGTAAGAGAGACAGAGAGATGGCACTCAAACAGTGACCTGCGTGGTGATCCACCCCCAGCCTCAGCTAACTCTGAATCATGGACACGATTGTGGCTGGTGTACTCAAGAAGTCTCTGAATGTGAACCCAGAACCTCCTCATTGTGGGTCAGTCTCTTAGAACATTGTTGTTTTTATTTTGTTTTAAATAAGTCTTTTTTTTTTTTTCTTTATTCATGACAGAGTGCATGCTCATGCATGAGAGAGAGCAAGAGCAACTTCCACGGGGTCTGGTCATGTTGCGGTCCCCTTCCTCCAGTTCTCCAGTCTGTTGGACTATGTTCGTGCCCAGTGTGTTTCAGGCAGACCAGACCAGGGGCTTGAAACTGGTCGCGATGTGGGACCTGACTTCTCTTGCTCATCACCTTACTGCTGCCTCATGGAGCTAGCCCAGCGCTGTTTTTCACTGCTGTGTCATGGTCCAGCCCTGTTTTTGTTTTATAAAGTAGGGATTGATCATGTTGTCCAGGTTAGCCTCAAACTGGAGATCCTCTTACCTCAGCCTCCCAAGTAGCTGGAATTATAGGTGCTTGCCACCAGGCTTAGCTGACTTTTTCCTTTCTTTCCTTTTTTAAAATTTGTTTATTTAATGTTCACGCCAAAGAGACAGACAGAGAGAAGGGAAAAGCACCCCATGGGGGATGGTTATGCCATAATTTCTTCTCCATTTCATTTCCTTTCATGATTTTGGGCAAGTATGTACATGTGCCTACTGTGGGTTTTTTTTTTTTTTTTTTTTTTTTTTTTTTTTTTAAACCCACTGGTTTTAAAATATGGCAGTGG